AGTATATAATAGTTATCATTTTAAGTCTCTATAAGTGTTTATTCAATTGCAAACACAAGTACTGTACAGTATATATATCATTATATATATATAAAACAAAGTTGAGATGAAATAAATTTTTTGGTGACCTTTCCTTTAGGGGGTTGGACTGACTATACCCTAACAAAAAACACAAACTAACAAAACATTGAAAATCATTGAATATCCCATTAATACTGTATATTATTGTTGAAAGAAACAAACAAAAAAATACTTTAGACACAAACACAAAATTACTTGTTTATTGTGTGGTAAAAATTTGTGGTAAAATAAAGACAAAAAAAATCCATATATTTTTCTTTATTGAAAAAATAACAATAAATAAATATCTACTGTATATATATAACTATTTGGGAGATTTTTTGAAAAATACATTTTTTTGTATGGAATAATATTTTTAATAAATGACTTTGAAAAAAATTTCAAAATTAATTATATTATATGAAATATTATATAGTATACTGTAATAGTACTGTAGATAAAACAAACAAAAAAATAAACGATAAATTAATTGACTGACACTTTTGTTTAAAATGTTTAAAAATTATTAATTAACTTAATTTATATTTTTTAAACAGAAAGGTGTCAAATAAAAATATGAAATAATAAAATAAATAAATAAAGTTATTGTATATAACATAGATATTTATAAATTAGACAATATATGTGTATTATTATTATTATTGATAAATTGATTGAATTAACGAAGCGAATCAAATACTGTAGTTATGAAATACGGATTTTTTTTCAAATATTTAATAAAAAAATCAGTTTTTATTATTAATAATAACTGTATATTGAATTCTTTATTTATTGTATATTAGGGAAAATGATGACAACATATTTTGAACAAAAAAAAATTATATCAAATTTTAAAGATACGGATAATACAACTCAACGAAAAATTTGTGATCCGATTTGTTGTGTGGTTTTCGATAACAACTCTAACAAACATATGGTTTATACGGAAAATACCGGAAAAATCAATAGATATCTCTGTTGAGAGTCAAGAAAAATATTTATAAATAAATATATAAATTTAATAATAATAATAAAATTGATTGTTAGCTATACTAAAAAACAGACAAAAAAATGTGGTGAAATATTTGGTATAAAAATAATAAAATCAAACTTTAACTCTTAAAATATTTTGAACGACAAAAAAATCAAATAAAATAGAAAATACTTTACCGGATATATTAAATATTTACAGTAAAACTAAAACTTATATTTATAGTCTAATAACATTATAATAATGATTTATAATAAATGATATTATTTTTATTTTTAGACAAATGTTGACAAAAATTTCTCTTTTTTATATTATAACGATAGTAATAGTAAATAATAATACAGTAATATTAATATTACTACTAACTTATTATTATATTAATCTATTTTTAGTTTCTCTAATAACAAAAATATAAGTTATAAAATATTATTACTTTTTTAATAAGATTTATTTTTTTAAAAGAAAACTTTTGAGAGTATAAAATCAATTAAAAAAATTTTAATTAATTTTTTTGTTGTTTCCAATAATCTATTAAATATTATCACGACTTTTGTCATATCTATGTTATTTATATATATATATTTATATAACTTATAACGTTATACTAGTATTTGTTTTATTATTAAGAAATTATAATTTTCACAAATATAATATTTTTATTTAATCCGTTTCAAATTTTCAGTGCAAAATGATAATAGTAATACAGTAGTACTAATAATAATAATAAACATAAATGATTTTAATCTACTTATGATATAACTGTACTTATTTTTTAAAAAACAAAATTATACTTTTGTTTAATCAGTTATTTTTGGATAAACTGTGCTATAAATTACCATTAGATCCAAATGCATTATACTGTATCACATTTACTGTAAATATAATATTATAATACAATGTTATATAAGCGTAAACATGTGGACAAATTAAATTATAATTGAATTTCATTTTTCATATTTTTTATATTCAAATATAAACTAAAAAACTAACTTATTGTACCATTTATACGGAAATTATAATTTTATTTATATCAATATAAATAATATATRTATATTATAATAATATTAGCCATTAAAGCGTGTTTTAATTTTTGATAATAATAAAATAATTATGCATTTTATGCATTTAATATAAAAAAAAGCAATACTTTTTTAAAAAATAAATATTATTAATGTATTATTAATAATTTTATTTTTTATAATTTTTGACAATAATACAAACAACAAAAATATAGATTTCTAATCTATCGATAATAATACTGTTATAATTTCCTTAAATATAGTAATAATAATTAATTATTTGTTATGCATATTAATTAAAGTGAAAATAATGATATAATAGTGTCAAATAAAAACAACAATATTATAATAATAATAAATTAAAAATAAAGGCAATGACTTTTTCGTAATTAAAATCTCGATTTTTTGCTAATAATTTGTTAAGCTATTTATTAAGTGTTAAGTGAAAATAGTAATGATAAAATTAGATTAGTCATAAAAATAATTATTAATTTATTATATTTTTATTACAGTATTATTAATTATAATAATTTAAACTATCTAAACTATATAATTTATACATGTATCTACAGTAATATTATTATTAAAAATTCATTAATAATGATAACATTAGTTTTTTACAGACCAAACAATTATATATTGTTCACTAATAAAAAAAATTCAATGACACAATAGGTGTCAATTAGTTAGTTTTATATATTATTTTTTATTTTCGTTTAACAATGTTTGGGTGAATCCAATAATAAAATATATATGAATTTAATTGATTGACACATACAGTGTGTGTGTGTGTGTGTGTGTGTGTGTGTGTGTGTGTGTGTGTGTGTGTGTGTATCTACAGCTATGATTGTTAAAGACTTTATAATCAGCAGCACTGGTAAGTAAACAAATAGACCGTTAAACTGACTGACATTAACACTTAAGATATATACCAAATGGTTTGTACTGTATATTCGTATACTAGTTTAGAAATTTGGCCCATTTTTTAGTATATTATATTATTTTTTTAAAACCGAAAATATTCAGCTTAAATAATAAAAGGCATTATAAATATATTTTGAATATATTGCATATACAATATATATAGATATATATTTAAAATAAATATTTTGTTTGCTAAACAATATTTGTTGTTATAATTTCGATACAGTTATATAATAATATATAAGTAAGTGTTTGCGTAATACAGTATTTCGTAAAAAAAACATTTTTTGTAAAAAAATAAAGATCCATCAAATTATGTTATAATTTTGCAAAAAAAATGTTTTTTACTGTTATTGTTATTGTATAGTTGACACTTTAAATATTATAATTTTACTCAAACAAAATTATTATTATTATTACTATTATTATTATACTATAAATTCATTGTCAATTGTAATTGACAAAAAAAAAACAGAAATAATTGTTTTGCTAAATGCATTGAAATTAAGTAAACAGTTATTTATGCAATTATACATAAATACAAATGTTTTTATAAGTTATTATAACGATTTATATGAGTTGAGATTTAAAAAAATGATTAAAATTAAAAGATAATAACGATATAAAATAAAATTTTAAAAAATACAATATATTCATAAAAAACCAACATTCAATTAAAATTAATTAAAATATTAAAATTTAAGTAAACAATTAGCATATAAAGTGCACTTTTAATGGCAGTTGTCTCGGCTATTGAGTGCAAAAAACTCATACTTTTTTAATATTTGAATACAAATATGTATTTTATTAGTAATGTTTTGTACTGTATTTACAATAGTCTTGTCAAACAATTATTATTATTATATTTAATATTATAATTTAGATGTCATCAACAATAACATGTCATAATAAAATGTAATGATGACTTAATTTTAATAAAGTTTTAAAATTATAGCCGGGTAATGGTTACAAACAATTACAAATAAATAAGTTATGATAATAATTATAATAAAGTTTAGACCATCTGCTAGTTTATTGTATATTTAATAATAAAAAAATAATAATAATAATAAAGAGCAATACACTCACTCATCAATTCATAAAAGTTTAGTTTTAAGTTTTATTTTCCTGTAATGCAAAAGACATTTATGACATTATGAGGAGAAAAATTTCATACAATGAATGCAAAAATTATTATTATTATTCATAAATTCATAATCATTTGTAATTATTATTCAGTATAACGTTGAAAAATTATTATTGCAATAATTCAATTTTGTTGTGAAATAATTGTATCATTTTTAGTGCAAAAACACAATACAATGACACTTGACTTAGAAAAAAATTGCTATTCATGTTAATCATTCATCATTGTATTAAATATATAATTAATTTTAACTTAAATCATTATTAAATTATACAATTGTATCTAAATTATCAAGCAACAATACTATTCGAGGTATATTAGGTTAAATTTATAAGTAATATTAATATTATTGTCTAATCAGATAAGCTATTTATTATTTATTTAGTTTTAAAAATTATTATTATTATTATTATTAAATAAATAATTAAAAATATACTTTAAATATTGATACAAAATAAATAATAGCATTAATATTTATATATGAAATCAATCATTTTTATTATTGTTTCATAACTTTATTCATGGATTTTATTTATTTATTTAAATAAATTCTCTATATTTAATGTAATATATTTAGTGCTATCAATACAATGATTTATTTATTTATATAAATATTTTCAGAAAATATATAAATTTTATTATTATTATTAAAATTGTTATAATTAGTAATCATTGAGTGATGAACTCTCAAATGAAAGACTGCATAGATAACTGATTATACAATATTTTATATGTTAACTAAACTATTTAAATGATAAAATTGCTAAATAATTATTGATATATTTAATTAAAGAAAAAATAAAATATGTTTTTTTTGCCAAATAAAAACACTTTTAATGTCAATGATTGCCAATTAACATAAAAAACATAATTTCATTGCTATAAACAAACAAAAAAAACGGCACTGATTTTTGGACTATTATTACTATTAGCTTTAATCGTATAATACAAAAGCTGAACTAACATAACATTACATAAGATAAAACATCACTTCTTTGTTATATTAGATTTAATAGCATATAATTAAGTAATAAAAAATAGACATCAAAGAGGTGACGGTTAAACAAGTGATGGGCAGTCAGACAGTCAGTCAGTTCTATGAATATGTTGTTGTTTTTAACGTTTGCTTTTGATTTTTCTCTTTTCTAATAATCTATTATTACTGGTCTCTAAATTTTTAAGAGTCATTTGGTCCTCGAAGTCGACTCTCATCGTACGTAAGGCTTGAGTCATCTCTTCCTGTACTTCAGGCCATTGTTCCTGATCTTCGCGAAGAACACGAACTGAATGGAGCGGCGTTTGTGGGACTTCAGCGTAACGCTGTTTATATGGTAATTGACATCCAATCAAATCAAACAAATAAAATATTTTTTATTATTGTTAATCGTAATAACATTATCCATAATAATAGTAATAAAAACTGTCTTTAATAGACTGCTATTTGGCGGTAATCATAGAGATTTCGCACAACAGGTATAGCCATAAATCAATTAAATATATATCTAACAGTTCTGGTAATTCATATAATTGTAGGCTTAACTAAACTAATCATCACTACTGGTATTTTTATTAAAATTAGAGGCATTGGTATGTAATAGTAAATATTTATTTAATAATTTAATTTAAACTAAAAATAGTCTTACAAATTAAAAACAACCAATTATTATAACACTATTACCGGTAAATAATTAAATCTAATTATATGTGCAATACTTACAGCAATCCAATTATGTTTCATCACTTGTTCAATGGTTAATCTCTGTACCGGATCTGTCTTTAATAAGCCTTTAATCAGATCTTTAGCTATAATGAAAAAATAAAGGAAAACATTAATTAATAAAACAAATTAAATCAATCACTTGTAACCCCTAACAAAAAATACATACCATCTCTGGAAACATGCCTCCACTCTGGATCAGGAAAGTCATACTGACCGGCTCTGATACGTTTCTTCATACCCGGAGATATAGCTAAACCGTGATTACTATAGAAAGGCGGATATCCACACAATAGGATATACATAATTACACCCAACGACCACAAGTCACTGAAAATTTAAGAAATATTTTGAAAACAAATTATTATTTAATTATCGTAAGTATTCATAAGTGTATATTTCACTATTAAAAATCATTTATACAATGCTTTTATCAATCAATCAACAAACAAATGGTTAATTACCAGCTTTTATCATATTTTTCAGGCCCTAAAACTTCGGGCGCCACATAATATGGTGTATAACAAGGCGTTTGTAATGACAATTGATTTGAGGTCTCTTTGGCAAAACCAAAGTCTGTTAGTTTTAGTACACCTGTATTATCGCTTCGGGTATACAATAGGTTTTCTGGTTTAATATCTCTGTGAGCGATATCTTTGGAGTGAAGATATTGTATGGCACGGCATATATCGTGCATTATTTCTGCCGCTTCTCTCTCTGTAAATGCATTTTCGGCTCTCTCTTGGATTCGTTGAAAAAGTTCTCCGCCTTCCATACTGTCCATAAAAAACAAATTAATTACATAATTATTACTACATATAATACAATTATCAACAAAACCAACCATTCCATGACAACAAGTATACATTTATGTCCTCCATAAGCATTTTCATAGACATCACTGATATTGACGATATGTTTGCAACCACTGGCTCTCCAATGGAGTTCAACTTCACGCCGAGCTTTGGCTGAATCTCGTAAAACCTATGTTTCAGTAAAAATAAAGCAACAAATCATTAGTATATAAATAACAACAACGCATAGAAATATAAAAATAAGTCATCAAAACGTTTCACACATCGACTTAAAATACATTAATATTCATAGAGAATATTCTGTTTCGAAATTCCTGTCAAAAATGCCTTATATAATGACACTAATCTCCTAAAAACACCCAAAAATTGCTATAATTATCCCATAGTTTTTGAAAATATATAACAACAAAATCTTGTGATAATACTAATATAAAGTTAATGCACTTAAAAACTAATATATTACATAATAAATTACAATTTTAAAAACTTTCACTACGTTATGTAACTAAAAAAATAAAAAATATTTATAAAAAAATACATACATGTATATAAATCAATAAACTCTATTTAATAAATATTATCTAATATAAACTCAAATAACATTATATAAATATGAAAGTAACTTAAAACTGCAAATTCACGCAATATTTGAGCCAAAAACTAATAATAGATTGACTGAAGAAAATATTATGTGTAGAAAAAAATTGTAAATATAAATAAATGTTTCTTATAAATAAAGAAATATATATTTTTTAAAATTTCAAACAAATAAATATTAGACAAATTCAACAAAAAAAAACATTATCAAATAATAGGCCAGAAATAAAAATAAAAAACAACAAAAAGATTGGGCAATAATAAATGACATGATTTTTATGAAATAGGTTTCACTTTTATCACAACAACCATACAAACTATTTTCATGAGAAACACAACTGTTTTTAGTCATCATAATAATAGTAGTCATCCATAATATTTATGACGAAATTGTTTGTTACTTCAATGTAAACCTCAATTTAATATCATCTGATATAACTCGTGTTACTTATTTTTAATACATATTATGTTGACAGTTGTTATTATAGTTTAATTTTGTTATAATATATAACAAATCTACAAATACATATTTTTAATATATATAATTTTTAATAATATTCAATCATTATAACTGTTTTGAGAAAAATTAAAACAATCAAATAGGATATTAGATAGTTTAGAATATTTTCAATAAAACAATACAAAATAAGAAATATTGATACATTTAATTGTGTAATAAATTAACAGGAATTCCTCTAAATAAGTATAAGTATATTAAAAATAATGAGATAACATTTTTTCAATATAAATAATATCACAAATAATAAATATGTTAGACATTTATTGGTCTAAAGTATAGACTATACAATATGTTATAATTAAATTGTAATTTATGTTCAATTGTTTATTAATTTAATATATATTAAAAGTCTACTACATTATGAAATAATCAAAATAAAAAACTATTTATAAATGCACTTAAAGTTGGGTTTCATCTCTTATTTCAATTTATTTCAAACCCACAGTACGGCACTAAAAATGATATCAATTGAAATTCAAGGATATCTTTAATTATCTCAATTCATTTGTTGGTTTCATATACAATATGAATGCAAGCATACAAATAAAAAACATAATAAAAACATTACAATTTCGTTAATTTATTTAAATATGATTGTGTATATGTTATCATTGAATATGAAAAAATAGGTAAAATCATGTTTAATACAATGCATATACACCTATATATTTTATACAATAGAAATAAAATAAAATGATAAATTTAAATTAATAAATAGATGACAATAAACAGATTATATAAATATAGACAACAAATTTTCTTTATATTTCAATAAAGTTTCTAAATTATTAACATGACATCATACAAGTTTTAAATAATAATAATACAAATAATACTAACTGTTCAAAAACAGGGTTATACTGGAAATTACAGATCAAAACACATTTATGCAACTAAAAAAAGTTTTCAATAAAATTTCCATTTTCATGCAATTCATCATAACTACCAAATTATATATATATATATTAGCAAAACAATTTTGGTATATAAAAATTAATCTTAACTAATAATAGATATTATTTATCTAATATAAAATAAAATTAGATACAAAGCGATGGGTATATGTTTGCACAATACAAACAATTTATTGGATACTTTAGCACATACTTGAAAATTGCTCTCAAACTATAATATTTATATTAAAAAAGTAATAAAAATATTATTTTTAAAAAAATAATAATATCACTTTTCAAATATCACACAACATTTACTTTCCCTTACAATAATAACTTTACTTAATTTTACGATAAATTTTTTACTGTCGATCGTAATGTCATTTACTTATGCGATGATTGATTGATTCTAACGATACATTTAACGACAAAAAATACTAAAATTTCATTATTTTTTGTTTTTTAACGTATGATTGGTTGTTTTATAAATAATTCATTATTTAGAAAAAATTATAAATTCAATAATTTTTTTCAAGGAAAATCAACTTAAAATAAAAATAATAAAAAAATATGAGTAAAAAAGGTTATAAATACTATTGACTTTTTGATAGTTTGCAATGATATTAGATTAATATCACATTAATTATTAAACTAAACATTTAATATTAGTGTCTCTCTATTGGCAAATAGATTAATAATAATCATAAAATAATACAATAAAAAACTATATCTATAATATATTATACTGTATTATACCTTTATGTAGACAATGTTATTATTTTAAATTGCATTTCAGGATAAATACTAGTTTTTATAACATTTAAAGGAAATCACTTAATGTTAATGAATATTACAAACAATGCTTTCGATGAAAATGCAATAATAATTATCAAAACCCTATGACTAATACTATGAGTAAACACATGTCATTATTGTTATTATTTTTATATTAAATATAAGTTATTATTATTATATCAATACCTTTTATTTTGACACTAAACCTTAAGGTTAACATTTTTTAATGATAATATAAACAGGTATATACTGTATATAGTTGTTTTCAGGGATTACTATTTATTACAGTATTAATTAAATATATTGTATAGTATAAATAAATACAAAAAATATTTTATTTTAATTGTGTTTCATTTAATCACTTATCTTATTATTGTTTTTTTTGCAGTCAAACAATTACATAAAAAACAGTATTCATATATCAATTAAATATTAATTAAATTAATAATATAACCATAAAATTATTAAAAAAAAAACAAAATGAAAGCTTAAGAGGAAAGTGATTCAAGTATTTACAGTATATATTACAAGAAAAAAAGTAACACTTTTTTCAGTACAAAAACAAACAAATAAACAAAAAGTTAAAATATATGTATGACTTAAGATTCAATTGAATACATAATTTAATTTTATTGTCTCGAAAAATACAAACATTAAATCAATGATTCAAATGTACGGTCAATGGCTTTTCGGGTAAAAAGACAGGACTTTAGGATATATGGATACAACTGATGAAGACATTGATGAATGTGAACATACCTTCAGTGCATACTTTTGTCCATTAGCTTTGCTGAAGCACTCGACAACCTTACCATTGATGCCCAAACCCAACACCTTATCGCTGATACGGTAGTCGTTGATAATGGGGTGTCCTTTGGCCTTAAGGCCGGTCGACGACGGCTTTGTCGACGATATACTATCGGTGAGCGACTTAAACATCGCGGGAACAGTTGGTTCACAACAACAACAAAAACTTGAGTATAAAACACTGTTTTTTGTTAATAATAACAATATTAGTATTAAACAAATATTTTCACCTTTTGTTTCAAATCTAAACACAAACTAAATAATACTTTTTTGATTTGTAATCAATATTTATGACAAAAACAAAACGTTTGTTTGAATTTTTTTAAATGAATTTTATTGAATGACTGCTATTATTGAAGTCTATGTTATAATTAATACATGTATTGAATGAATGACTTGTTTTTTAAATTACTYATTCAAACTAAACTCTGCATTACTTTTGTTAAATTATTATTATTATTATTATTACAGTAAAAGTCTAATACTGTAGTATTGCCTATCGTTTTAGTGACGAAACCATTGTATGACAGTTACGTCACTAACATATATAATGTGTTCAGTGCTGCCAATCCATACACGACGTACACATTACGACAGTTGATGACTACATACAGTGTATGCAATAGTAATCAACAATTATAATAGAGTGTTTGGGGGGGAGAGAAACAATCATACAGTTTTTATTTATTTTTTTTTAAAAAAGGGATTTGATTAATTTATATAAAATATAACGATATATAGTGATGGGACTATTTTTTGTGAATATTTGTCTATTCAATGATTGCACAATCAATATGACACCAATTATGAAATATGTACTAGAGACTGAAAACTGACCTGATTTTTCAGGTCAGGTCAGGTCAGGTAAAAGTTAGGGCTCAGGTCAGGTCAGGTACGGGTCCGAACACCAAAATTTTTTGGTCAGGTCATACAGTTTTTTTTTCATTATTTAAACGACAATTATTAAAAATATGACAATCAAACACAAAATTTATTAAATTATTATTTATGAAATATTTGTATTTGATTAATTTATATAAAATATAACGATATATAGTGATGGGACTATTTAAAAAAAATAAAAATATTTGTCTATTCAATGATTGCACAATCAATATGACACCAATTATGAAATATGTACTGTTTGTATGCATAATAGTATTGTAATTGAACTGAAACACGCACTGCCAAACATATTCTCAATTACTGTATATATTTATGTTTGTTTTTCAACTAGATCAATTTTTTATGTACTCAAAAATAAAATAAAATAAAATTGCAGCAAACAGTACATTTTATTTTGGATTTTTCCCCCTTTAATTTTTATTAGTTTATTAAGTTTATCAAGATATTGACAAGGTACATTTTGTGTGTGTGTGTGTGTGTGTGTAATGTTACTGTAGAATTGCTATATAAAATTATATAATATTATACTCTAGGTACATTTATTAGATTAGAAAATTATATATGTTAAGTATAAATAATTTATATTTGATAATAATATATATTTATGTATATTTCACTAAAAATTTAGCAATAATTTAATTAACAAATAGATTTAAATTCAATATTTATATCATTTATAGAAAATATTCTCTTTTTATAACTTAATTACATTTTTTAAATAACTGCCGACTATTTTATGGGTCAATCTATTGTCTGAAATCCCTATAATTTATAAGGGATAACACAGTAATACTATTAGTTACTTACGACTGCAATATACTGTATAAACTAAAATTGAACCAAAAATTCATATTAAAATAAAATGTTTAACAATAAATTCAATTAGTTTTTAATCTATTGGTGCAACAAATGTGTAAATGCTTTAAAACTCATTTTATGTTTTACATTAAGATTACAATGAATTAAGAATCTAGTTGATATTAAATTGAGCATGATAGGTTTATTGTCAATTGTTATAAAAATACAGTCACTTAAAAAATATATATCATATGAATAGTAAAATTTGAATAAAATGTGTTATTTATAAGTTTAGAAATAATGTTTAGAAAGTATATTCCGACACAAATATATAGAGTACAGCCATTGATGAGCCGCCATAAGTGCCGCCGTGGTATAGCTTGACCTCCAGTTCCAACACAATATCCTGTGGGCCGATGACCGGCTTCACCAACGATACCATTGCCTCGTTAAACGATGTCCGCCGCAACTGAAAGTTGTCTTCAGTGGCCGCCGGCACACCGTATTTGCCAACCACTGCCGACTTCATGTTGAACTCGAACTGGACAGTTGTTACCGACAGTACTGGGCCTTTCATTGTGAACAGATCGAGATAACCAGTGGATGGGATTGTCATATTGGATGTGAACGTCAAATAGTTGTACGAATAGGCCAATGGTTGGCGCAAGTCTTCAGAAATACATGTAGTGTCGGTACAAATGGCAGTTCCGTGAGTTTTCTTGCACCGACTGTTTTTGTGATAAAAATATGATTTTTAGTATTTGTATGAATCATTAATTATCAGTAATACTGAACAAAAAATGTAATACCTTTTATGTGAGGCATCCCTTTGATAGCCAACCGGACATACAATGCGATTGCATTTATAGTCTCCTTTTGTGTTCAAACACGTCTCGTCTTCACCTCTGCAATGGTTGTTCTCTTCGCACTCATTAATATCTTCACAAATATAGGTGCAAATAAAAATTAATTTTATTATTAGATGAGTTATTAATAAAAGTTTTGATTAGACATACCCTGACATGTCCTCTCATCACTTCCCAATCGATAACCCGAAGGACAAGAGCACTGGAAAGATCCGTGAGTGTTATGACATTTACCGATACATAGATAGAAATTGTTGGACATGTCTTTCTTTTCAAACTCTTCACACTCGTCGATGTCAACACATGTCTTCAAATCGGGTCCCAGTTTATAGCCGGCATCGCACTGGCATTGATATGATCCCCAGGTATTGAAGCATTTATTTGAACAGCGGTGTGAATGTCTGTCGCATTCATTGATATCCGTACAGAATTTACCGGAACCGTCGTTCTCGAAGCCCGGCTTACACTCACACCTGTATGAGCCCAATGTATTGACACAAGTGGACGAGTCTGGTGAACATACAGTCGTGCCATAACGGGTACATTCATTAATGTCTTCGCAATCCCGGTTCTGATTAAGTATATACCCGAGTGGACACTCGCACATATAGTTTCCCGGTCTGTTGCGACATATTTGCATACCTTTGCACTCATGTGTACCTAAAGCGCACTCATCAATGTCCTCACAGGCGTTACCTGTTAATTACAGCATATAAGTGCAATATTGAAGTCAATAAACTATTGGCAACAAAAATAGGTTAATACCGTATTTGGTGAGTTGATAGCCAGGCGTGCAATAGCTGGAACACCGGTAGCTTCCAACTGTGTTAATACATTTTTCATTGATAGCACAGGGAGAGTTGAGACACTCGTTGATATCGACGCACCGGTTGTAAGTATAGTTATATATTTTTCCATCTCTGCACTCATTACTAATGCACGTGCCATCGCTGGCCAGGTGCTGGCTATATGGACACCGAATACGATCACATTTGAATGATCCTTCGGTGTTTCGGCACCGGAAGTCCTGACCGCAGTTATCTGTTCCCAACGAACATTCATTGATGTCCTCACAGAGATCTGTTTCGGCGTTGATTGTATAGCCGGTGCCGCAGTCTTGTACTCTCACACAATGATACGATCCAATAGTATTATCACATCTGAGTGAATTATGACAGGTATGTGTCCCTAATTGGCATTCATTGACATCCTTGCATTCACCCGTCACCGTGTCTTTGATATAACCGGCCTTTTTATTAAAAAACAAAATAAGTTTAGTACACAAATATCTGACTAAATTTACTTAATATGTCCAATACCTGACAGTAACAAACATAACTACCAATAGTATTACGACACGACTGATCCCTACGACAGGGCGTGTATTCTGTTTCACATTCGTTGATGTCTTCACACAACTTTGACCACCGATTGCGGCGGAAACCAACCGGACAGTTGTCTCCATCCGAGTTGGCCGACATCATGGGAGCGCATTCATACCTACCTTCTGTATTAATACAATTATGTGTGGCCAGATTGCACGTGTGTTGACCAATACGACACTCGTCAATATCCTCACACTGATAGGTCAATTTGGAGAATCGATAGCCGTTCTGGCATTTTGTTGGATCAACCGTTGATGTCGACGATATTGTTTCGATCTCATTGTCGCCTATATTATCTGGCAGTTGTTCGCAATAATAGGCGCCCTGAGAGTTGATACAGTTTTCTAATGGTTCCTGACATTGATGATTATTTTCCAGACACTCGTCTATGTCCTGACAGTCTCGGTCTCCACCGGGACCTTTCTTGAATCCCGGTGGACACGTAGTTCCCAACATAATGCACGTGAATGATCCCAACAGGTTCTTACACACGTGTGTCACGCGATTGCAATCATCGGTTTTGGCGAAACACTCGTCAAAGTCTGTTAATTAATTTGTTATGTAATACATATGCTTATAATGCATAATATATTTTTAAGCAAACAATATATAACCATAAATATTAATTCAATTAAATGTTTTTGATATTTGATAACATATCATATGATGCTTATTATAATTAGTCATTGATTATTATCGTTTTTTTTTGAAAAATTTTCCCTCTCCATTTTAGTCACATTTTTATATTATAATTTTTTCAAATTTTAAATTAGCATTTAATATACTAAAAGCACGTATATTAAAAACATATTTGCTTTAATTATTAACTATTAAAAAACATTTAATAAATATATTAATATGAATACTACTATACAGTACAGTATTGATACTTAATATTTTTAATTTTGAAATCTATTAATATAACTAATAACTAATAATAACTTATTAACTATCATAGGCTATGATTCAATGTCAAAATATCATACCTTTTTTTTGCTAAATAATGTTTGCTTAAAATTAAGACAACACATAAAAATTAGTTATATTATTTATATATTATTTGTATGATCAGTAATTTCACTATTTTAAATTTAATGCATTCAATGCTAATAAGAGATTATTAGTATGCTTTTAAAAAAATAGTTATTAACTATATAAAAATTATTGCATTCGTTAAATTTACAGTATAATGATATCTATTTGACAATGCTTATGTAAAAAATAAATAAATTATATATATATTAAATAATGACTGACCTAAACATCGCTTATATTTACTGTTCCACTTATAACCATTAGGACAGGTATGTGATTCTTGTATATGTTGTTGTCTGGCCGTACTGTTTATACACTCAAAAGCTCCCACATTATTGACACATTGTTGTTTACTCAGATCACAGTTATGTGTCTTTTCTTCGCATTCATCGATGTCCACACAGTCTCTGCCATTATTTGCCAATTGATATCCTTTAAAACATGAACATCTTACAGGACCGACATCGGCACCGGGATCGTAGCAATTATGGGCACAGGGAGATGCAGTAGTGTCGCATATGCTAATTGATGCACCTAATTTGTTGAGTGTTTAAAAAAGGCAATTATCTAGTATTTAAAAATCGCATATACTGTATTTACCACTTCTTCTAATGTTTTCGACATTTTGCTGACAGCACTCGTAGTAGACATCCTCATAGGGATATCCCAATCCAAAAGTGCCATGAGCGTTGAATGTACAGGGGAACCGATCATTACGTGCCATTAGACCCAATTTGCACGATAGACAACACTCTTTGGCCGACTCATTGAGCAATGGACTGATGGTATGTCCGGTATTCAATCCACTGCAGTCACCATTTGATCGGGCATATGACTTACCCTCATCGCAGTGTCGGCTCCGGTGCTCTTTGAAACAGCAGATCTCGACCACATGTTCGCACTGTCGACGAAACTCTGAGTTGACCACAAGTCTGTCAAACGATGTGTTACTGTACGCACAGCCACCGGTCGGCATTTGTTTGGCCCGTTTAGTGCCGACATCGCAGCACTTCTCTAATAGGAACTCATAATCTGATGATTAAAAAAATAGTTTTTTTTAATATTATTAGTTWTCTATTAGTTATATTTATAATAATACCGTCATATCTACTGCTGGCAAGAGTTGTGGCAAAATTATTGTTATTAACCAAATATAATGTTAATAATAATATTAATAATGATAAAAACTGTGTGAAATTAAAAGTCATGTTTGCATAGTTTAAATAAAAGTTTTTTATTTAGGAAATGATATTTATTTACTGTTTTAGTTTAATAGAAATAAATAGTAAATACTATTCTATATATTAAATTATTTAAGCAAAACTTTTTTTATCTCAATATTTATGATTAAAAGTATTATTTGTTTACATTTTAATTATATGAGTTAAAACACGCTAACATAGATTATATTTGATGTCCCCATAAAATATGCTATAAATTTAAATGTCAATTTATAATAATATGATAATTATTATTTAAATATCTATTAGCAATTAAACATTGTTAAGAAAAATGATTGATATGGTTATTATCAAAGTCAACAATAATTTATTAAATAATTTGCATCAAGTTTTCTAATGAATTCATAAATAAATTGCTATATTTTAATAGAGTTTATAAACAAATAAATGAAATCAATCTTAAAGGACTTTAAGATAAATAAATAATTTATAGTTATTATGTTTCATAGATAATTATTTGTCATATTTGTCAAGCATTTAAAATTAATTAGAGGCCATGTATTTAAAAATATTTATTATTTTATTTAATAAACAAATACAATTAAAAAAGTTACTATTAAATAAAGCAATTTGTTTTAATAATTTTTTATATTTATAATCTATAGATTCTATATATTGATTATATGGAAAATTATTTTTGAATATCATTAACATTATTAAAATTTGTAATTAACATGTAATAAATATTAAATATGTTTTTAATTAAAAAGTACTAATGATATACAAGTTTGTTATTTAAAATGAATCAAATAAATGATCATGTTGATTCAGCTTAAAAATGCAAATTACAATAAATATAATTTCAATTGAATATGCACTACAAAACAGATTAGTCAAACAATTAATAATGCAAAACATTTTTGAAATCAATTGTTAAGTTCAATATCACATACAGTTTGAAACCTAATTTTTCTGATAGATTAAAAAATACAATAAAAAAATGTTTGCCATTAATTTAATATTTAGTTTTACTTTGATTGTCACTATCATAGCGGTAGTGATCGACTGTAAACCAGTTTACCAGAAGACGACTAATGACTCGAAAAAGTCTGTCCGCTGTTATAGTCCAGAAAAACCTGAGAATATGCCCGAAGAGGTGTTCCGCAAATATAAGATATCCAGTCGTAACCTATCGGAGACCGACAAACGGACATTTTGGGATAAATTTAGTCAGTGGTGGCAAAATGCTTTCGGTATTCATATATTTATTTATTTATTGCTAACTTTTATTTACATAAAGCATATTATCATTTACTAAATTTTTAGCACAAGTCGGCAAATTTGTACAAAAAGTGGTAAAATTTTTTGATAATCTGTTCAAAAACAATAGAAAAACCAATGGACAACAAACTACTACTACTACAGAAGTGCCGCCAACTCCTTCTCAACATAGATACGCGTCAAATGTGGTAATCTGTGTGGAGAAAGACATCGGTGGTCAAGTGGGTCTACAGACTACCAAAATTTATACGATTGATGTGACGACACCTTTTAAGATACAAAATGAATGGGTGACTATAACATCGTCGGCCACAACAACGTCAACAACGACGACGACTACAACAACAACTGAGTCAACAAATGAATCAGAAACCAACAAATATGAGACAATGGATGAACAGTTTAGTACACCTTTTGATCCAAACAGAGAACGAAACCCTGTTATGGTGGGTGTCGGCGACCAAAAGGTACGACACGATAGTCATAGGGATGATCCAACTGTTGTCAAAGCTATCTGAATATTATAAAAATATATAATTAAATTTTTTATTTAGTATATTATGTTAATATTATAATTTAATATATGTTAATAAAATTATTATTATTTACTGTAGGTATTATACTGTTGAATACAGTATATAAAAAATATGTGATTATACAAAAATAACAAAACCCTAATTTAATTCAAATACTAGATTTTATTTTTTGATAGTTTTAATAATCCAATCTCTATAAAGTGCAACATTTGTATAAACACCGGGATAGTTGTTTTCATTGCATCCCTGGCCAAATGAAACGATACCAAATTGATACTCTTTTCTAAATGAAAATTGTTGTAAAAAATAGAAATAATATTTATTAATATTAAATTAAATTTTTATTCTGGATGGATGGATTATAATGGATTATGTCTAATCGAATAATTGATTATATTTTTTCAATAATTTTATTTTCTATATTATATTAATGTAATAAAATTAATTCAGTTTTAATGAATATTATTTTTTATAATTTTACTAAAATTTTTTAATGAATTAGTCGTTTTTAGTTTGTTTGTAATATATTTTTAAAAAAAGATCAAACAAATTGTTATACAAACTCATTGACAATGGCTGATAGTGGTCCACCAGAATCACCCTATTATATTGGGAAACAATTAGTATTTTGTCATAAATTATTGTTACCATACTTAAAGGTAACATACCTGACAGGCATCTTTACCCGGGTTTGTGTAGCATATCATCTCTTTGGTAAACTGTCCCACATATTTCCTATAGACATCATTGCATTTACTAGTATCTGACTTTTGTAGATTCACTTTCATCAGCACTTTACTCACAGAATCAAACTGACCTAACCGTCCCCATCCGTAAACTCTGACATTTTTCGGTGGATTATCATTAGGTGCCGGTAGACAAACACAGTTAACAAAATGATTGGCACCATTGTTCTTATACTCAATCGGGTGTTTAACTTTAATTAATGCAATATCATTGTTATAGTTTATTCGTTCAAAGTTTTCATGAATAACCAGTTTTTCTATGTTGTATGTGTTTCCTTCATTGGTATCATTTAAATTTGTTGATCCAACCATTGCGCGAATTTTACCCAATGAATGTTTATGTCTCAAATCCAAAAATAAAACAATACATGTTAGAGGAAATGGTATAATTTAAATAATGTAAAAATTACCCGAAAAAACAATGACCAGCTGTTAGTATCCATCGGGGATTAATGATAGATCCGCCACAAATGTGTTCATATTTGGAGCCTATTGTCTTTTGAAACGATACCATCCACGGAAAGTCTCGTATGTCGGCTTCATTGCCGCCCACTATCCTCCCAGAGATACCAATTTTTCCACAATTTGATGGATTGATTCGTGTTGACGGACCTTTATATACATTCGTAGTCGTAATAGTCTTTTTTTGATAACTAATCAAATAAATCAAATTGATATATATATATATATTAAATTAAAATGATTTTATATAATTTAATTATAATTAATTTCAAATATTTTTACTGTACTAGAAATCATTTCCAGATTTAGTGAAATTGTTGCCTACTAGTGGCAAATATCCCGATTTTTTGCTTAATAAGCCTATTTCAATATAGTAAGTAAAATATAACATAAATAATTTATAATTAAATTTGATTTAATTTTTATTACATTGATTTATAATTAAAAACAATAAGATAGCAGATTTAAATAACATAGATTTTATTATTAAGTGATATTTATACTTGAATTGAAACAACATTTGTATATTAATGTATTTCATAAGTTTATTTTGATAATATAATAAAAATGATATTATATTTATTATGTAAATATATATTATAGAAATAAATATGTAAATAAATATCTGACATTTTTATAGTAAATTAATTATTTATTGCATAAAATTAATTACATTTTTATTGTCTAGAAATTTTATAATATAATTATTTAAAAATAACTACATTTATTTAATTATTTTTAATTATATAAATTATTGTAATAGTATTGTATTGCATAGATAGTTGATTAAAAAAAATTTGTTTTGAATTAATTACAATTTATTAAACGCAAACAATCATTCATCAAAATAAGTCAAATAATTAATGTTTGTTAATAGTTTCGACTATCCAGTCATGAAATTTGCCCACCTCTTGATAGATACCGGGTGTTTTAGGTCGGGCACATCCATGTCCAAATGATACAATACCTATTTGGGTACCCTTTCTAATAATAATTAAAAAAAAAAGTTTTAATCACAAATATTAATATTTTCTATAAAACAAAACAATCGACAAAACTTTGAATGATTTTTACTTTTTCATAACTGCAGTAAGTGGTCCACCAGAATCTCCCTTTTAAAAATATAAGCAATTAAATTAAATTGTTTATAAATATAACAAACAAACAAATAAAATAATAATAAATTATTTTTTATCAAATATTGTCTAATTATTTAAAGATTGCATACTTTACACGAATCTTTTCCGGGAGACATATAGCAAAACATTTGGGGCGTAAAGTTGCCGACAAATTCTTGATAGGCATCGTTACATAGTTTTGTGTCATATTTGGAAACCGTTACTTTCATTAGATCAGGACTGGGCTCACCTTCTTCTTTCAGATAACCCCAACCGTAAACAGTGGCCGTAGCGGGAAGTTTGGTCTTTTCATCACTAATGCACACACTATTGATAAAATACATGGTTTTTGAATCACTAAATTCAATCGGTTTTTTAGTCTTGATTAGCGATATATCATTGGCATAGACTTCCGGATCATAATTTTCGTGATTAAAAACCCCTTCAAACTCATAGGCGGCCCCATTAGTGCCAATTGATGCCCATTGAGTAGTTCCCACCACAGCTTTCATCTTTCTCATCGTCGTATTGAATACACTTTTTAAATTCAACAAACAAACAAAAAATAAATAACAATCATCTGATTATAGAAAAAATACAAATATGAATGTGTGTGTATGTGTGTGTTGTAGGCATACCCTTGAAAACAGTGGGCCGCCGTCAGTAGCCATCGGTCATTGATTATGGAACCGCCGCAGAAGTGTACCATTAAGTTGCCTTTTGGTCTCTGAAACGATACAATCCATGGGAACTCATATTCAGCCGCTTTTTCGCCGCCAACAATATTGCCGGCCTTTTTCTTAGTTATTCCGCAGTTTTTGTAATTAATTGAACTTTTATCGGTTCCCATTGACTTTTTATGGTATTTTCTGCCATCATTTACTGAAATTATTGATATTTTTATTTCATATTATCAAATAATACAAGTATGCTTTTAGCTAAATAACAAATAATTATTTATAGATATAATTTTAATAATAATATACTATTACTGTTACTACTACTACTACTACTACTACTACTACTATTAATAATAATAATAATAATAATAATTACCTTTTATATTTATGCAGATTATTGTTATAATTAAAACTAATAAGAATTTAGAGCACATCTCAATTAATAGATTAAATTGGATATTATTTAGTACACTATATATATATGTAAAACTTTATTAAAAATGGATGATATTATTAACTAATTTGTTATAATTATATCTGTTTAAAAATTAGCAAAAAATTAGTAGTTTTATTTTTAAATGTTGTTATATAAACTTGCTAATAATTGAATAATTACATCAAAATTAAATCGATTTCAAAATGTAACTTGTAATTTTTTAAAAATAATTTGTTTTGTAATATTTTATTTTAAAATAATAATAAATTTCAATTATATAAAAAAAATTAACATTCATTATAAATGTAATTTAATATAACAGTAGATTTTATTTTCTATATTAAAAATATAATAATTATATATTGAATCTCAATATTTAAAAAATAGTATCCATTTTTAAAAGTTAATTAATTTTTATAAATTATGTTTTATTTTTAAAAATTTAATATTATTATTATTGTTATTATTATTATATAAAATAAAAATATATAAATTATACAGTATCTATATTAATATGATATATGATTATGTCTGTATATATTAATATTGTTTATAAATTATTAATGCAATACATTTTAATATATTCAAAAGGAAATTGCAACAATTAAAATTATTAATAAATAAGATATTCATTGTATTATTTATTTATCATTTCTAATAATCATCACAAATTAATAATATATAAATTAATTGTTAAGTATTTTTACAACTAAACTAAAAAATAACAATAACATATCGTACTTTACAATATACTATAATTGCATTTATTTTTGTTTTTAATTCAATAATATAGTATAATAAATAAATTCAAGCAAATTTATGGAAATTAGCGTCAATTAAACTGTATTAATCAAACTAAATGCATACAATAACAACATAATTAAATTAAAAGTCAATATCATTTTTTAACAATAAAACGTTAGCACACTTTTTTGATTGCCTCTAATCAGTAATAGAGGCGGCATATCATAGGTTAACACTTCAAGCCATGACATGTATAGTGTAGCCGAGCACTTGTATTTGCGAGGAATCGGTAGTGTCCTATGAAATACAAAAATAATTTGTTAAATAAATAATATTTGTGTTAAGTTTACAAATAAAGATGCAAAATATATTTATCAAAAAAAAAATCATTTACAGTGTTATCAATGTCGACGAAGTCGAGTATTTAACCATCAGTTCTCTCAGTTTCATAGTTTTGGTTGTCTTCAATAATAATAATAATAATAATAAAGTCATTTAATATACTAATTATGTGTTTATTAGTCACAAAAAACTACCTGTTCTTTGAATGAAAATAGTTCTTTAGGTGATGTCTTGATAATGGGTGTAATGTCATCCATAATACGATTYTCMAGTATTGAGTCAAACTTTCTTTTACTAAGAAATGAATGTTTTAATAAATTGTTATTTTAGTCAAATATTGATTATTTWAAAAAAAACTAATTGTTATCAATAAGTTATACAAACGTTTCAATGGATAGCTCGACATCATCGTAGGACAGGGCGTACACATCAGCGAAAGGTATGCGAAATTTTTTTAACAATTCAGACAAACTGTGTGTTTTACAAAATTAATATTTTCAATATTATCCTATATATTATTTACACATTTATTGTATTATAGTTTTTTTTATAGATAATTAATTATATACTTATTTTTGATGACATTTAGTTCCTGATTGCCTTCAGCAACGGTAAACACTCTTAGTCTACATTTTTGCCATARTTTGTCATTTATCAAGATATAGGGTATTARTAGAGAGAGTCCTCCGTCATCATAGAGCCACCAGACATCTATAAAACCGGGCGATTGCTTATATTTAAACCGATTGGCTAACCGGTGGCACTCCATGTGCGACATCGGTGTCTTCGTTGTTGTTGTTTCATTGGTATTTGAATCCATTGTCGATGATATTGAATAGATTTCTCCATCTATTTTATTGATAAAAAATATAATTTATATAAAAAACATGATTTAAACTAATTTTTAAAAAAAAATTGTTWAAATACTAACTGTTTTCCATGCGATTAACAGTTAAAGAGTTGTTAAATGTTGCGACAAAATGATCGGAAAAGTCGAGACCCTCTTTGACCCGAAACATAACCAGCGAATAGTGTGCTTCCAAGACATTGTGTATGACATCGTAATAATCGCGCAGATCGTCATCTTTAGCTGATCTCCAATCACTTTTATAGCCCAACATAACAATATTTGGTGTAAACTTTCCCACACCTGTTGAGTGCATCTGATTGCGAATACCATCGCTGAGAAACTCCGATTCAATCAGTTTATAGAAGGCATTGATACGTTCGCTCTTAATCCAGACTCTCTGGGAGTCGATCACCCGTTCCCTAGTCTTATAGGAGAGCGGACCTTCCGTAACGTGCGATAGAAATAGCATACCGTGACCTTTAGTGATTCTATTGGCCATATCAACCAATACCTGACGATTTTTCGGGTTTCCCGATAGCAACAATACGATTGGTCGATAGCTTTTAATATGGTCTTCCTGTTTATTCAAACGGAAAGTTAGACTACGGGCGCAGTCAAAACAACACGCTTCGGTAGATGAGCCCCAATTTGCCTTTGCTTTTGAGATTAACATAAAACAAATAATTAGAAAAAAAATAATTTGTTAATTGATAGCTAACATACATGGGTCGACAAAAAACATCAGCAAATATATGATTATAATAAGTCCAGAAACAACTGCTGCCGATATGTAATCAAATAAAAACATAAGTGCCACACAAAACAGGCCTATAATCAAACTGATCCATTTGTTGTAAAATCTAAAGCCTGGCCTAAAGCTGATGGGATTAACCATYGAAACGTGAAACAAAGATATGTTGACAATAAAAAAGGCGCCCAAATAAAAGTTTGATATCCAGACACCCGCAGTGTTGACGTCACCGATTGCCACAAATATAGCCGCAATTATAAACGTAATAATATAGCCGTGTCTCGGGTCACGACTCGGTCCATAACCTTTGCCAAACCATGTAATCACTGGTACTAAATGGTCGTCACAGAAAGCCTGAACCCATTTGATGTATATTTAATTTTAAATAAATTGTTTTTTATATACTGTATGTATAAATTTAAACCTGAAATATTCTGGGAGCGGCTGTATAACAGCCCAGTGCTGATGACAGAGTGGCCGCAAATATTCCCGCATATATTAATGGTTCTATTTTAATGCCGGTCTGCGATATGGCGCCCGTGAGTGCCATAGTTTGAAAGTTATTGATTAGACCAAAGGGACAGTTATTGGCCGCCTCACAGGTTTGGTTGTTAAAGATAATTGAAGCAGCGTTGCCATCTGAATAGGCGACAATCGTAAAACCCAAAAATATGACAATAATGGAGTACGTCGTGGATGTGGTGGCTATGGCCATGAAAGTGCCCTTTATGATGGCCGATGCTGGCTCTTTCAGGTCAGCCGACATACTGGCACCGGTAAATATGCCGGTGACCGACGGGAAAAATACGCCGAACACACCGAAAAAATCTGAACCATCCCATCGGGGAAACAAATTGGGAACAATAACATATTTGTGCCAATAGGCCAATCCCTGTGACTGTTGAAGCTCTGTTGGCGGTATAAATGATCCGACAAAGTAGTCAATGAGCGACACAACCAAAGTTAAGAAGAAGAACATCATTGTCTTTGACTCGAACTCTAGACTAATGATAGGAATGGCGGCTATTATTATAAGACATATATAACCAATAATTCGCTGATCGTTGGTTTCGGACGGCACCTGACATATGCCTGTATTGAAGGCCTAACAAAACATTGACAATATTGAGTATATACTGTAGATATTGAATATATAGTTTTTAATATAATTTATACAGACATTTAAAATATCGGAAACACTTTCAGCGGTTCCCAAAACGTTAAGTCCAACAAATGCCGCGTTAGTAAAGGTAAACATAAACCCAATGACTCCACCGGCCTCGTGGCCAACCGTTCGCGATACCATTGAATATATACCACCGCCACCTATATTACCATTAGTACACATAGCTATCATTGAGGTGGTGGTCACTACAGTGATAGTTGTTGCCACAAGTATTTGTACCAATGCTAATACTAATTAGAAATAAGTTTGAGATAATTTTTTTATTATTAAATAATTTATTTAAATGACTGTATGATAAAATCAACTATGATTTAACTAATGATCACTTACTGACTCCTGCCTGACCCGCCATCCAACCCATCCTCAGAAATAACATAACACCAAACAGGTTCATCATTGTCCGGATCTAGTGATCAAAATTTATATAAAATATTTGAATCATATTTTTTAAAATAATATATAAAATATTATATATATACATAGACGCCATCAATCCATCCTAGTTTAGTACTTTTAACATTGCTGTCTTCATTATTGTCGCCATCAATACTCTGAAAAAAATGTTTGAATAATTAATTAAATCAAATATGTGTCCATCAATACCAACAAAAAATATTTTATATTAATTTTTTTGAGACAAAACTTGTGACTCAAATACCTTTTTGCCTAAATTGTATGGTAAGTGAAGCTCTTCAATGTCAGGTCTGCGAGACTTCTTGTGAATAGTATTGTCGCGTCGATAAAAGTCTTCGTGTGGTATGACATCTGTGATGACATTCATATTAGCGTCAGTTTCTGGACTAACATTTGATGTAAGTTCAAGATTATTGTTTCGTGAATTTTTTTGTTGCCGATTTGTGGCCAAATTTTTAAGAAATTCGGGCAAAACTACGGACGAAGACGGAATATAATTGGAAAACTCGCGATCAGTTGTACTCTCGCTGTCATCGTTGAGATCATTAAGATATGCGGCATTCAGATGACCGCCGTTTTGCTGTTGGAAACGGTTCGGTATGTATTTTGTCATCACTTGTTGTTACCAATAGTTAACGTTATTAAGATATAAAGTTTTTTTTTGTTTTGTAAGATATTTTTGTTAGTGAATCGCAAGTTTTATTGCAATCAATGATTACATATTGTTTATACAATTGACTTCGATTTCATTATAAGATTTATAAATCAATTAATTGTATTTTTTATTATCAATAATTAATTATTTCATTCATTATTTATTATATCCTATGTGTATCGCGTCAAATGCATATTAATAATGCATTTCATTAATAATTTCTGTAATTATAATAATAATTATTATTATCATTAAATATATTAATTAAAACAATAAAAGAAAAAAATATACTATATTTACTGAATTTGTTGATTCATGTTTGATAGTAAAGTTAAGAAACGGTATTTTAATTTATTTATTAGAAAATAATAATTGCTATTTATTTGTTATATAAGTGTTTGTAAAAAAAATTATAGAAACAAAGTGTTTTTTTGTCAAACAATAATAATAATAATAATATGCACTCGATTTTATATGTAATTAACATTTATATAAAATTTATATTTATATTTCATCGCACTTTTGTCGATGTCATTAACAACTATACAAGTGTTTCTGTTAAATAATAAATCAATTGATTTATTAGTTTAATTAAATTTATATTTTATTTTTTTTTAGTTTATTTTCTACATATTAAAGGATAAATTGTTTTAATTTAACACTTTTTTTTATTTTTTCTTAATAAACAAACTATGAATTATTTTTTATGTTTTATTAAAAGATTATTAATTATTAATTTAATTGTAGTGAATAATTTTATAAACAATGATATAAAATCATCTTTAGATAAATTATAATTGTTAATATAGTATAGTTTCTCACATAATCTTATGTAATATTAGTTAAACTTATAAWTTAAATACTTAGTTACCATTTATTTATAACTAATACAAAAAATACTCTATTATTGGTTTTAATAGAATCAGAAAAATGTTTTTTAGTAAATAAATAATTTTTTGTCTTAATATTCTTTTAGTTATCCTTTAGTTATCCTTTAGTTATCCTTTAGTTATCTTTTAATTATTTTTTTTAGATATCTTTTAGTTATCTTTTAGTTATCTTTTAGTTATCTTTTAGTTATCTTTTAGTTATTAAGAAACTAAACMATAGATCAAATATATTTTTGTTAACTATATAAATAATCAATTTAAATATTATAAAGATTTACAAATAATTATCAATATAGTTTGTTTCACTTGTTTTTGTCTTATAATTAACTGTTATTTACCGTAAATAACATAAACATTGCTTAATTTGTAATTTATTTTTAGTATCAATGTTATCACATATATATATATATATATAAATATGTCATATATACAGATGTCAAAGATTGATTAAAATAATAATAAATTAAATATAATAGCAATAAAATAATAATGTTATAAATGACTAAAAAGGAATGTAAACAGAAATTTCTATAATATTTCTAAACCCTTATATAAATTTTATTTTTTCTATGATTAATATTTCGTAATACTAGTACTTATTTAATTAATATTAAAAATTAACAAAATTAATACAGTTTAACACATTTTTATAAATTTCCTGAACTATGATATAAATTGAATTTATATATTTTGATTGAAACCTTGAAAATTTTGTGGAAACATTATTTAGAAATTTCGATTTACTCATCTCTAAGTGATCTAAATGATTATACATGTATTATCGTTAATCTTATACAAGTAATTTAGATATAATATTGATGATAATTTAACACAAACTTTTATAATAAATTTATTTTTAGTTTTTGATTTTTAAATACCGTTTACTAGTTTATAAAGTATTGTATTTATAATATTATTATTAATAGGTTATATTTTTGTTAATATCTTTTTATTAATTAAATACAGTAACAAATTTAGTAAATTGAACTGTATAATATAAACTATATAATATGTATTTAATGATTAATACTTTTGCTATTTTATAATATACTCTAAAGTTACTAAAAATATTATAAYATTTATTTAGTCATCAAAAAAATATTTCATAAATATTTGTGAAATAAAAAACAAACAATTTAAATAATGATACCATTAATAAAACTTTTTTTTTACTTTAAAGAAATTTAAACAACAAGTACCGTATTATAACAAATTGATAAATGCGTTTAATAGCTTTTGTGCAAATATTTATGTAAACATATTCAAGACTATTAATACAGTATATCTTTTTTAAATAAATAAATTTTATAATAATAACATATTTTGTAGTCATTTATAACAAATATTATTTAAAAATCTTTTAATTGTTTATATTTTAAAAACTTGAGCACTAATAATGCATATAAATTATGGAAAATTATTAAACAATAATTAGAAATATGAATTTATAGCAATGACAATTAATGATTTTATGAGTTTTAACAAAAAGTTTATTATTAGCAGCAATAATATACTAATGAATAATTTTTTTAAATATTTTTTAAAATTAATGTTTTTAAAAACATGTCTTTTTGTATTTATTTCGTTGTATTTCTATTAGTTTTATATTTTATAAAGTAATTTATGCCAATTATTTGCTAGTTATCAACAATTTTTTTGTAATAGCATTTATTTTATTTAAATATTATACTGTATTTAGAATTGTATGAAAAATATATAAAGTTATTTATAGATACGATTTTTCAAATTTATTGTACAATATGTTTATGTTTGGGTCTAATACAATGTATCCAAACTCATAAAATCCAAATGAAAATATCTAATTTGATTTATACAAATTTATAATCTCAAAACTTATAATATCTAATTCAAAATCTCCAAAATTAAAATCTATAAAATAATAATAAATTATTAATAATATTTAAGCTTATAATATCCAAAAAACATTTGACCCAACTCATTTGAKTGAACTTATATAATTTAAATAAAAATAGCCAAAATTATTAAAATGTTTATAATTAYTTAATAAAAATTATTATAACATTTTTAAAATTATCGTTATTAATAGTAAAAAATAATGTAAATTATTTTGATTTATATTAAATAAGTTTGAATATTTTGGATGTGATGCTTATGTTTTAATAGTTATTTAATTTATAAATTTTTACAATTAATATACTCTTAAGAAGTTTATATCACAATAATAGTGACATTCAATTATAACTATCATATGATAAAAGTAAACAAAATGTATGAATCAATAGTGACACTAATTTATAGAGCATTGATAATGTATGTCAAATAATTTTATTATAAACTTAAAGGCATTTTTAAATTAGTTGTRTTTTAAATACAATTTATTTTAATTTAAATCAAAAATAAAAATCGCAGATAATTAAATTGACATTTCAAAAAAATTATTATAAAAATAATTTATTTTGATATCTACAGTATTTAATATTTTGTCATAAAACTAAATCAATGTTGTACTCATGTTAATTAATTAATTAATTATATAAAATATATATTAAAATAAATTAAATTATTGAATATCACTTAAATTAATTATATTGTGAATCGTATGACTTATTATCAAAAGTTATCAAATATTTAGATATTGTCAACAATTATAGAAAATAACATTTTTAGCTACATTACAGCTATATTTATATTAAATGATAGCATTTTATGTACATTAACGTAATATCCAATGTTATAATACTAATGATAGGTAATAATACTGTCATATTAATGGCAACTTATTAATATTTTTTAGATATATTTAAATGTTATAAAAGCCCAGAAAATAATATTATTATTATACTTTATGTATTGATCAAAAAAATTATTATAAAAAAAATTTATAAAATATTATCTTAGCAAATTAATTATCAGTTGATTTTAGTCATATTGTCAAATGACTCATATGATAAAATAAATTCAACTTTAGTCATGTAAATATAAATGATTAAGTATATAAAATATATATTAAAATATCAAATGATTAAATTAATAAACTGAATATCATGTAAATTAATTGATATTGTAATAAACTCGACTATAGACATATTATCAGAAGTTATCAAAATATTTAGCTATCATACTTTTGCAACAATTTTAGAAAAAATAAAATTTTTATCTATTATATCTTATTTTTATTTATATTAAATGTTAAAATTTTTTTGATGTATTTTCATGTTCACGAAGAATATCAAAATTTTATAATATTTTTATGCTTGTTTTAATGCTTTATTCAATTATACTTTAAAAAAATTTTTAAAATTTTTTTACTTTGATATTTTGTCTATGTTATCGAAGAGATATCAAAATTTTAATGCAACTTTTATACATTATTAGTAGTATAATCTGAAGTCAGAATTTAAAATTCGCAAAATGAAATGCTACACACACACACACACACAAAAGTATAATATTTTTAAATTTTTTTTTGAATATTTTTAAATATTAAATTTAAAATATCTTAATATAAGATATATATATAATGTTATAATACATATAATATATAATATAATATAATATATATACATAAATAAATGTTACGCTTATCAATAACTTATATACAATATTTATTTATTATCTAAAAATATTATTATTTATCATATCTTTATTTATTTATTTATTGCTTTTATTTGTTACATTAATAAATTTAATAAAATAATTAAAAATGTTTTTATTAATAATAATAATTCTATTATTTGATAGATATGTTAACAATTTTAAGAAGATTTAATGATTAATATTAACAAAAATTTTAATAAATTGTGTGCAAAATAATAACAAAAAAAGCAATTTTATTATCAAACAGGTGTTGATGTATAAGATTGTGTCCTTTTTCGGTGTGCCTTTTAAATCAATTTTTATAAATCAATTATTTATCATAAAATTTATTACAATAAATAATACATACATTTCTATTACCAGCAATTGTATTGCTATAAAAATATTGATTATAATTATTGCTATTATGATATCGTCCTAAGGTATTGGTGTCCATCGATGGATAAGACATTTCAAGACAACTTGATTTAGTCGAAACCTRTATCACAATATATTTATTTTTTTTTAAAATTGAAATATAATTTTTTTAAAGCATTTCTAACATTTGGTGACCAATGGACACCCGGTTCCGACATCATTGGACTGTTGACATCGCGATTAATATAAATACAGTCGTTTTGATGGTAAAAATCATTTAAGTCTTCTTGGAGTTGAACTTCATATATCTGATAGCAGTCCTGATTACTTCTCTCTCTATTATTGACTTCATTGATATAATCTGTAAATTATAATAATTATATTAATTTAAATAAAACTTAAATCTGATGTATAATTGACTAAACTGGTCGCCGCTGGCAATGAGTTACTATAATTGTCATTACGAGTGGCGCTTCCGTTAAGATTGTGATAACTCTTTAGCTGACTATGAATGTCATCGCCAGCAGTATAATCGCCGGTCTCTTCAGATTTGTTGTCGTCGTCGACATTGTCTTCGTCATCACTTTCGCCGACTTTTTGTTTTAATTTACGCAAAATCTTACAAAATACTACCAAAAGTATTGCAATCAATGCTAATATAACAGCTATTATCACAATTTTTTCTGTTACTCCATTAGATTCATCAGTTTTAGCCGATATTTCTGCAAATTATTCATATTATTTTAATCTAAGTTTTATTATTTGCATTATTATTATTATTAATAGTATTTGGATTATTGTGAACAAACCTGGTGTCGATACAGGAGGACTGTTGGTTTTTGCCCAAGTGGTGAACGGTTCACTTTTGCCTTTAACATTATTGGCGTAGACTTTAATTTTATAATCGGTATTGTGTTGTAAAGCACTTAATTCAAAGGTAGTCACCAAACTGTTGGTCAGATTGAGTACTAATTTGTCATCACTTTTCTGAAACACTTCCAACGCAAACGTCTGTTGTAGGCCTCCGTCATAACCGGGCGAACAGCTTATGGTTAACGATGTAAAACCTATTTGTAATTTAAATTTAATTTTCAAAAAAAAATAGTTGTTTTGTTATTTATGATATCAYATAAATCATAATCAAAAAGGTTTTACACACCGATGTTATGAGTCTCACAATTAACTACAGCTTCTGGTTTGCCTTTAGATAATTAAAGYAATAAAATTAAATAAAATAATTAGATTTTTTTTCTCTAAATAATAATAATATTAATACAATTGGTATTCACTAAAAGTTTTGTGTTTGTGTTAAGAATTTTTTTGTTGATTTTTTCAGTTAACAAAAACAAATGTCTTTAAACATTCAGACAATTATCATAAGTAAATATTTGATTATATATTTTTTTTGATCATTTATTTGTCGTACAATTAATTTATGTTAATATATTCACACACAAAAAGTGTTGGGCATTACCGGCGGGAATGACTGTGTAAACACAGGGTGACTGTTGAATGCCGGCCACATTAGTGCCCCGACAGCTCAGATAACCGAAGTCATGGCGGGATTTTGGTGTATATAATAATACACTACGAAGACCTTCGCTGTAAAACTTTAGAGTCGGATCAATGGTATCGTTGAATGTCCACTGATAGGTGACATGAGATGGCCGGGCGTCGACATCGCATAAAATTCGGGCCGTTTCGTCCAAACCGACTCCGTATACTATTTTCTGACCACTTTTACAAATGGGTGCATCTATTAATTGAAACCAAAAATTATAATTTTTTTCTAAATATCGTTATTGTTAAATATATTTAAAATTAAATTAATACAATTTATTTAATAATAATAATTCCAATGAATAGCAAACTTTATTATTTTATTAATTTTATAAGGAATTAAATTTAAAAGTATAAAAATTTGTTCATAAATTTTATTATTAAGTACATATTGTGATAAAACTATCAGTTAGTATAACTCAAAATATGATAAAAAAATATGAAATTGTCGAAAATTAAGTAAACCCTGGTAATTTAGTTTTTATGTGTGCAAATATTTTTTAAAATTTAAAATCTATTAAATTTATTTACTGTCCAATTTATCTATGAATATTATTGTCTCTTATATAATACAATATGTGAAATACAACATATTGTTGTCCACATCTATAATATAATATTTGTCTAAATTTAATATTAAAGTAATATATTTTTGTGCAAATAATATATAGTTTAGTTTGTTTTCACTCGATTTAGCTCAAAGTATATAATATATAGTGTAAAATCTCAAATGAAAAAGAGTCTTAAATAAAGTTTGGGTATATTTTTTCACATTTTATAAATATATATACAAATAATTATTTTATTTATGTATAAACTAGTTTTTTTTTAAAAATTAATAAAAATATTTTATTTAACATTGAATAAATTTCTTAAATCTATAGATTAGTAATAGTAATAATCACAATAATCACAATCAATAGTAATCATAATAATGTATCCCATATTGTAGTCAATACAGACACAGAGTGTATATTATAAACAATAGGCTTAACTTTCAATGCCTTGATCTCCATGAAAGTGACTGCACTTTAACTAAAAGCCGACTTATATTTAGATGAATTGACTAAAAGATGGATAAGAAGTATTGGCTATAAGTATATAGTAGTTTCGTAATAAAAAAAGATAATTGTTATTTGAGCTGATATTAGATATATACAGTATATATACACAAAATTAATAGAAATACTTATATATTAATAATTTATCGATAGCTTTCAACAGTAGCGCACATACATATTATTAATATTATTAAGTAGAGGTATAATTAAAAAAAATATTTAAAAAGTAACAAAAAAATATATACTATATTTACTTTGAGATTATATAAGGAGTACTTACAGTCAATAGAAAGTATGAAATCATTACTTTTTCCCCTTCCGACCGAATTAGTTGCCAAACAATAATACTTTCCCTCATGTTTTCGGCTAACGTTACGTATATTGAGCGTAGAGTTAGTTATAAAGATCCCTGAGTTTTGTATAAAAATAATAATAATATCAATCATTATGTATAGAATAATTTGTAAAAAAGTTTTAGTGACACAATTTTAATAAATATGGATTAAATTTAAAGTGACAAAAATCTATACTACAATATATCTAAATATTAATAGAAAGAAAAATAAGTTATATATGATATATATAGATAAATAATAAGTATAGAATATCAATAGTTATTTATAAATCATTAACTTTAATAATAATAAAAACATATTTTGTGATTGAAAGTCAAATCAATATTTTATAACAAACTCATCTATCATTTGATTTTTTATACCAAAAAAAACAAAATAAAAATAATATTATAAAAACCGACTAATAATATATAAGGTTATCGATAATAAACAAATTGATTTTATTTTATTTTTTTGTATGTTTGCTATTAAAGTGGATTTAAAAAATAAAATTTTATATATGAAATAAATATCGAGTAATATATATATATATATAACTATATTTTTATGATATATAGATATTTGCTTTCAACACACAATTTGTGGGCAAAACAAACAATTGATATGAGAGAAGAAAAAAATGCGATAAAACTCTTGTGAGTTATTATTTTTGACTCAAATACTGTGTGTCTTAACAACAAATAAAGACTACTATAAAAAATAACAAATTGTTATTTTATCGGTCAATACCATAGTTTAGTTCGGTTTTGATAATCCTCTGGTCGTAAAACCAACTGAACTCCAGTGACGGCGGATTTGATTTGGTTTTGCAATCCATGTGAACGTCGTTTCCTTCGGCGACAACACTATTCTTGGGACTCGTTGTCATTACAAGACTGGCTCTCGGCTCAACTGATTATAACATGTTTGACGATAATAATAGACAAAATAACAAAACAAAAATTATATTATCGATAAATGCCTAATCGTTTTTTAATGGATTTATTGTCTAAAAGAAATTATTGTTATGTCTGAATCTTTAATATAATAGTATATAATATACAGTATATAATACATACTGTATATATCAGTATATAGTGTAGTACTGTATAATATAATTGAATTGAATTATATTTAAAAACTTTATCCATTTGAGAGTAAATAAAATGTTAATCTAATAAATATTGTAATAAAATATTTACGATCTTTTTTTGTGTGATTAACTTATGAAAAGGTATGCAATAGAAATGGTTAAAAAGGAAATCAAAATTAAAGGTCCAAAACCTTTTGTTATAATAAAATATAGTAATATTACTGCAATCATAATAATAAGTTTGTGTTTGTATTTTGAAATCAACACCAGAATTGAATTAAATTTTGTTAAGCAATTCACATATTTATATATTGATATATATATACTATATATATATATTGAATATATAAATATAATACACAGAATATTCTGTGAGCACTTGGCCTACAAATACGGTGAACCTACCAATGAGATGAATGTGTGATTGTTTTACTAATGTTTTACTATCATATAAGTGGTGCACAAAAAACAAAAAATAAATCATTACAACCCCGGAGTTAGTCTCACCACTGGAGGTGGAGTTGCCATTGCAGACAGCATTTCTCTGTCATTAATGACAGAAAAAACTTTATCTATTAAAAAGGGTCAATGATTTGTTATATTACTGTTAGATATTTTTTGATGTACTATATAAAGGAGACATTTAAAACTATTTTATTTTATTTGATAAACTATTGCTTATATATGTACTTTACAAACAAATTCGCGACACAAAATAAAAATGAGAAAACAATTATTTTCAATTTTGTATTATTGACAAATACATTAAATACAATTGTTTTCTAATAGTTAATATTGTGACAAATGACTTAAATAATATTTAATATATAAATTAATATTTTTTGTGAGTTATCTTTGTTTTAAATTATTATTTTTTTAACAACTAACTAATTAATGATAATATAAAAGATTTTGCTAAACAATAAATGTACTGTTAATAAAGTACTGTATTATATTGTAATACTAATAATAATGTTATTAATAATAATGACACTATAAATATTTGATAAAACATTTATTAAATGTGTTTAAAAAACAAATGTCTACTTTCGTTATATTATTTTTATCAAACAAAAAAACATATTTTATACTAACAATGAAAATAGTTAATTGAATTTTTTGTTGCTCTATTGTAAATAAAATCTGTCAGAAATTAGGATTTATTTCAATATATATATATATTCAGTGGTATATATATATATCACTTATTAACTAATACTGTACTAACAGTATATAACTTATAACATCACAAATTACTGGTGTGTATTGATTTTTAGTGGGGTTTACCCTCTTCTAAACAAAACAAAAAATACTCCAAATCTATAATTTTAAAATTTACTACAAAAAAATCAAAATAATAAATCAATAGAAATGACAGACAATATAAAACAAAAAATTGTGTGCAAATGAAAGGGGTATTTGTTATTCACAGTCAATACAATATTTAAAGATTTTACCCAAAAAAATATATACAAAATAAATGATTTGCAATTCATTTATTTAAAAAAAAAGTAAAGTTAAGGGACCTAATAATATATGATTTTTTGTTTATCATTATTATTATTATTATTATTTCAATGTGTTATTGTTTGACACTTGTCTGACACTAAATTTTCATATTATAAAATATTCATTATATACAGTACAGTATATTTAAATTAAGCAAAGTTATTTTTTACTGATTTTTATCTTTTAATAATTAGCTATTTGTAAACTGACTTTTTGAACACAAAATAAAATGTTTAAAAATAATATAACAATTTTTATGATATAATAATAAAAATTATTTTCAACATACAGTGGACATCAAGTGTTAAGATATTCTCTATGGAACTGTTGGTTATCTTGACGTTATCGGCCAAACATACTAATCGGGCGCCGTTGTCATCAGGCACTGGTGTCATTGTAAGCACACTTTTGGTTACATTATTGTCATCTGAATAATATTCCCTATGATTATAGTAGTAGTAGTACAACATATATATATGAAATTGTTTTTTAAAAAATAAATTACACCATCTTTTTTTGATGATGTCTTGTTTCAAATACTCATAAATCATGTTTTTCAAAAAAAAAGATTTTTAATAAATAATAAATAAAATTTTGCTATTAAAGTATTCTTGTGTTATATTAAAACAAAATTATTAATGAATAGAAAAAAGTCATATATTTATATAAAATTATATTTTGCTGTATAACATAATGACAAAATTGAGATATGATTAGTGGTTATATTATTATTAATACAATACTGAATATATATACTGTATGTATACTATGTATGAAATATATAATCTATAATATATATGGTTGTAAAGTATGTTTAAAAATGATAAATGAGTTGACAAACCTGGAAGACATGATTTGTTTGTCATTTTTAAACCACATAATCCTCGCCGCCGGTCGCGAACCCACCGATTGGCACATTATTTCAACACTTCTACCAGATATTAGTGGCTGAATGTAGTCATTCAATATTTGGACAGATATTGGGCGAACTGTCCAAATGTAATAATAATAATAATAAATAATAAGATTATAGTTTAGTTTATTTTATTTTATAACATATAAATAACATGTATGCTATTAATAGCTATATTTTTGTTGTGTTTGTTGTGAAAAAAATCAAAATTATTTATTAGTTTATTAATTTTGTTAGTCTCAATAAATAAGATTTTCGTTTACGTTGGATATATTTTATGCAGTATTTAGATAATTATTGACAATTTATTGTAATGATAAATATACTATAGTTTTAATTTTGATATATATATATAAACTTATAAATAAATATAAAAATGAAAATAAAGTTAGCATTTATTTTAAATTATATGTTATTTACAAAAATAGCAAAATATGACTAACTTTTATATTTTTCTAGACCCTTATAATATATAATTTATATCTCATTTAAAACAAATGTCAAAAAATCAATACTCAAAAAAGTAAAATATAATAAACATTAACACTCAAAATATAAATTATATACACTGTATATATACTGTACATGTATACAGTATTATACAGAATAAGTAAAAGAGTAGTAACAATAATAAAATCAAAATTAATAATAAATATTATTATTATTATATATATATATTGTGATATCTATAACTATAATACAGATATAGACAATACGGCACTTATGGTATAATAAACTACAATAAGTTATAACATTTATAACAATTATTGAAAACGACAGACAATGTGTTTGACTTACAATTAATATCTAACATAACACTGGCCTCTATAGCATGCGTTTGGTTGGTATTAAAGGCCTGACATCGATGGACAGCAAATAAGTGACTTCTAGTGAGTGGACCAATGGTCAGTTCGTTCCTTACACGGGTGCCCTCCTGTACCACATAACTGGTGCCATCAATAAGCTGGTTATGATGATACCAATGCACTTTGGCTGGTGGTCTGGCTATTGGCGACCAGCAGTTAATGTATACATAACATCCATAAGCGATAAATTCAGTGAAAAAAAGAAAAAAGTGATGCAATTATGAGTGAATGTAGAGAAGTAGTAGTAGTAGTAGTGATTGTCACAGATTAGGCGGTTTAATGGCATGAATGTTAGGCATAAAAATAAATTAGTTGGACAGTAGTAGGCATAACACTGGTCACAGACACATACCACCTTTAGCTTCGCATATCAGCTTAATGGTGGTGTCCTCCTGATAAGGTCCGGCCACGTCTTCTATAGCCTCCATCTGCTCGTTCCTAATGATCACTTTGCGAGGCGGCACTACATACAGACAGACATATATATATATATATATATTATACAGTATATATCATATACAATATATGACTTTCCTATTTAATATATTCAATATAATGACATTTCTAGTCTCTCAGCTATGCCTAAGCTATTCAATAATTGATAACTTTATTTGTCTCATATATAATAACAATTGCCACTCAACTCGTATATCAACTAATATAATGGTATTAATAAATTTTATATATACTATATATAAATTATATATATATTATAATTATGTGTTTTATGTGTGACCAGCTTACCGATGACCACTAAATTCATTAATGTATTGACCGTACGGGCCCATCGGTAGTCTACACGGCATCGGTACTCTCCTTCGTCTTCAGACTTGACCGGATCAATGGTCAGAGTTCGGGCACTTATGTTAAGATAGGCTCTRTTGGTGATGTCATTGTGCACAAAGTGTCTGCTCTCGGTTTGCCGATTGTCTACTGAATAAATGGGTCCATTGCCCCAATCATTTTTATACCACAGTATTAGTGATATGGAGTCACCATTGGTGGGGAACGTTATGTTACACGGAAGCTGAATGCGGTCGCCGGACAACACTCGAAACTCGGGTAATACTGTTACCATTTGGGTTAACAATAATTAAATAATTATTATATAAAATTAAATAACAATATAAATAATTTTGTATAAATTTTTTAAGATATTAATATTAYACTATAATTGTATATATTATAAATGTTTTTGATATTTTGCAATTAGTTTGAAAATTATTTAATGGTATTATTATGCAAAGTCACAATAAATTTGCAAATTATTATTATTTCTTATATTTTCTATTAGTGTAACATTTAGAGTAATAAACAATTCATTTGAAACATTTTTCAATATTACATATAAATAATTTACTTTAACACTAAAATTTAGTGTTTTAAAATGCTAATTTAAATTTTAATTAAAAGTTGCACACCATAATAATAATAAAATGATTATAAATTACAATATTATTTATACAGTATTACAAACACACACGCAAAATATATATTTTATAATATATATACAAATATACTGTATATATATATATATAAAAAGAAATTTGTTTAATTAGTTAATAATACATTTTTCAACTTAGCAAATACATAAAATATTAGATGTATTAAACTATATTACAATCAATTAGTATATAAGTTGCTTTACAAATATCTATAGTTTATTAAATAGATTTTTTTACTATTGAATAATTATTCAAAAAATCATAATAAAATTTATGCATAAGTATTTTATTTACATTTACATTTACATTTACAGTACAGTAGTTTTAAAAATATATTAAATTTGTTTGAAAATGATATATATTTTATTTGGATATACTGTACAATGATTTGCACCAACAATAAGCACAGTATTTCAAAACATAAATTTTTATATTATTATTATTATTATTATATTATCAGTCTATGGATTTGTTTACAGACTCTTTATTAGAGTTGTTTTTTCTTGGATTTACGGAAATGAGTCTAACATTTAATAGCCGCCAATATATGGGGCAAAAAAGGGAAATAGTTTGTGAATAAATGTCTTAACATTTCGCTAATTATATTACCAGTAATATTGAAGATGTTATGTGTCTGATGTTACTCATAAACTTAAGGCTAATGTTTTAGTTATTGAATGATTAAGTTTACCCACTATTTAAGAGCTTAACTTTTTTTGCTGTTTTTATAGATAAATATTATATATTACTGTAATAGTGTATATATATATATATATACCGTATATACTGTATATTTATTTATTAAATAAATAGAAAGTTAAAGTTTTAGATTTTTGCTGATATCAACCATTATATATATGAACGATATTAAAGGCATAATTTTTTATACTTCAATTTTTGTGACTTTTATTGACTCATAKTTTTCTGTATATGTTTTCCCATTCAATAAAATTTATCTTTATATTTATACATAACTGTATAGTATCAATGCTATAAACTCGTGAAATCAAAGCTATATATATATATATATATATATATATATATATATATATATATATATACAATAATATATATATATATATATATATATATATATATATATATATATATATATATATATATATACTGTATATACTGTATATGTCTGACATAACTATYAAACAAATTCAATATAATACTGATATTTATTTAGAATTTTTATCGGCAGTAATATTAGCGGGAAATTCCTCGCATTTAAATTATTGACAAAAAATAGTAAAATAAGATGTAATCAAATATAATATCGTAATATATATAATATACGTAATATATGTCTATAAATATTTTTTATGTGTGTATTATTTAAAATTGTTATTTAGATTAGAGATTTCAAATTGATTTAACTTAATAACTACAGTAAATTACAATAATACTCCACACAAAATAAATTGTTAGATAAAATGCATTCACAAGAAATTGATGTTTATAAAAATAAGACACACAATTATTTTACTTGTGTTTAATATATGTCTATTATTTGAGTTTTAATTTATATGGTATCTTATCAAATAAAACAAAACCATATATTTTTCAAACACATATACTATGACTTCAATAAATTTTGAGAAAATTGAATTTTTCAAATAAATAACAAAAACAGTATTTAGATTTTAAAAGTTTTGATTTTTTTTGTTAGACAAATCAAATGATTGTTACGAATCACTTAAAAATTCATTTATTTTTTTTCTTGAAATTTGTTGAATTATTTTTTAAAAGCAAATGTAAGTCAGACACTTAAAGTGTAAAAATTTTAAAAATAAGAAAATAATGAAATAAAAACTATTGATTAAATTATATAATTTGATTTATATAAGAATAGTTTAAATGTATCTCTTAGTCTAAAATAAAATTAGTTAAATTTTTTTTATTATTATTTTTCACTAAATGATAATTAATATTTTGTATTTATAAATATTAATTATATTTATTTAATAACCAAGAGTAAAATATTTTTATATATTCTATACGATTATATCTGTATATATAGTATAAATTATATATAATATTTAATATCACAAAATATACAAATGTTTTTACATTTGCTCATATATTTAAATATATTAAAATTATATATATCTATATATATTGTATTAAATTTAAATACATTAATAATGTCTTCTATAGCTATCACTGCACAGTAGTGCTAAAGATATGGTAACACTTTAAAGTGGGTTTCAATTGTTTTTTTGTACTAATATTTATTTTATTAAAAACTTTTGCTGATTTTATAAGTTTTGGTAAAATCTGAAAATCATTTTTATGTTTTATTTGCTATTTTTTTAGTGACACAATATGTTTGAACACATAATATCATATCAAACGTTTTTCAGCATATAATATATGGTTTATGTCAGAAAATCTAACTGTCCTTTTCTTATCTTATTTGTAAATGTTATTCTCATTGTGTTTGATATAAATATATTTTTTATATTAATTCATAATCACATCAGTTTATAATAAAATTATATTATTGTTATATATTATTGTATCAAATAAGCTCATACAAAATGTAATTAAAATAAAATATTATTTATATTTATATATTTTTTATTTTTTATTTAAAATAACTTATGATTTATAATTTATATGAAATCAATAAAATCTACTCAAACATCATTAGATATCAAAATCTTAAAATATATTATATGTATGTATAACATAAATAAATTGTACTATTATTTTGAATTTATATGGTTTATTTTTGTAATGAATTGACAATATGTTGAGTTTTGACATATAAATAACATAAAAATATTTTTTTTATTGCAATATGACTGACTATTTCTATAATATTATGTAATAGCAAATGCATTATATGATCAAAATGTTATTATTATTTATGTGTTTACATTGTGGAGAATAATGTATGTTATTGACCACAAAAAAATATTAGTATTATTATAATAATATATATTGAATTTTTATATACTGTATACTATTATATAAATTCATGATTTTATTAGTTATTGAACAAATTTTAATATCAATGCCATCATAACAAAAATTAAATTAAATTGTATATTTAAAATATTTCAATAAAATAACAAAATACTATTAAAAATTGGATAAAGCTTTTAGTCGTTTAAAATTTTTTACCTATATTTTCTTGTTGTTCAAATCCGGGCATTTGAAAGCTAGCCGGCAATGTGTCTGAAATAAAATAAAAATAATAAAATGATTAAATTAGATTTGCGATTTTTTATTATAAAATTGTTTAACTAAATGAGATTACATTATAACACTGTTTTGTTACCACTTGAGAAACACATTTGTAATTATAGACAATAAGTTTCATTCAATTCAATTACAAACACTGATCTTTTCTATACATTTACATAATGTCTAACATAAACTCACTTTAATTAAAGACTAATGTATAAATATTTTTTGTTTTGTTATTAAATATTAAAATATTAACATTAGTCAAAAAACTTTCTTAAGCTAATTTAGTTAATTTGAAAAAATTATTATAAGATAATTCAATTATACTGTTTATTATTATTTAATTATTTATTGAATAGAAAATATTTATTTTTAAAAAATATTTAAACAGTTATATAATTATGTTTTTAGTGGCTATCACTGCTAATTATAAATGTTTAATTTTTAAATACAAGTATTATATTTTATTTATATCAAATTTGTTAACAAAAATAATTATAATTGTTATCACAGTTAATGTGACTTTAATTTGTTGTCTTTTTTTTGTTTGAAGTCATAAAGCAGTAGTTATAATCAAAAATACTATTCACTATACTATAACTCAATTATAGTCATCCAAAATATCTGACATTTAAAATCGTGTTTTTTGTTGTATTTTCATTGATATACTGTACAGTACAGTACAACCATATATTTACAGTACAGTATTATATACTGTACTATAGTTTTATCACGGATATCAATCGCAAGTAATATGTAATTATTTTAGCTTTTTTCATACACTATATGCAAAAAAATCTATAAAAATCAATTAATATAGTTTTTTATTTGTAAAAACATTACATAGTATACTCATTAATGTTATATGAGATATATATTACATAATTAATAAGATTTTATTAAATTTATATTATATTTATAAATATTTTACTATTAATCTCTTGTCAAATATTAAATAACATTTTATCTGTTAAAATACATAAAATAACATTTAATAAATGTACAAAATAAATATATTTTTTTCATTTTAGTTTTATATTATAAAATTAATCAATTTAGCGTCATTTGAGCTATTTTTGTAATACAATTATATTAATTATACAATTACTAATTACTATCATTTTATTATTATTTAATATCTATGTGTATCTATAGAAAGCAAATTTAATTATAGAAACAAACATACAGAACATATAGTTTTGATAAATCTATTGCTTATTTATTGAATTTAATTAAAATATAAATAAATAATTTTTGTATTCATTGTAGTAAATTTAAATTATTAACTTTTGTAAATTAAACTTTAAAAAAAATAAATTCAAATACAAAAAAATACTATAATCTTAACTTTAAAGACACAACAAAAACAATATTCATTGCAATACTTACTCCATTCCTTGGCGTCAAATGTGTATAAAATTTCACAGATTATGATAATAAGGCAATAGTGAGGAGTGGTTGTCATAATCAATGTTATGGTAATGTCATATAATATAAGGAGAGTTGAGATTTGATAGTCAATAAAAACTAAATGTTGTTTTCATTTTTAATCCATTTGTTGTAATAATAGTTTATCCAAATTATTTACAAACATTATTTAATAAATCCTGTTTAATAAATATAAAAAAGTTTAATGAATTAATACTTAAATATTACTTAATTTATTGTATTATTAATATAATATTATATATCTATTTAATAGATTAGTTTATAAAAATACTGTATATTCTGTAAATTATTATTTTTTGTTAACATTTATTGACCTAATCATTATTATATGATTGAATATATATTTACAATTTTTACTTGAATTCAATTAGGTAACTTATTATTTTTATATTTATTTTGTGCAAATATAAGTTATATTTTCACTTTAGTATATTTTATATAAATATTTTCAAAATGATAGATATAATGGATATTAATCAAAAAATAAAGTTATTTTTCTGAAGTCAAAATATATATATATAATTGAACAAAATGGTAGTTATTATATATTCAATTCACACAAATAAAGAGCAAAATATTTTAATTCAAACTAACAATTGTATTAAAAAAACAAAATTTTATCCAAAAATGTGTGTGTGTATATAGAAAATATACTGTATATAAAATTTATATAAATATATCTTTTGAATATTTTATTCACAAAGTGATTCAATAAATGTGATGATAAAATTTATAGTGTTTTAATAAAAAAATTATTGAATTTTATTAATATATTTAAATTTAATACTTTACTTTATATTTTAATTTTTAATAATTTATTTTTAGTTTACTATAAGTATACTGTATTTAGTTTACAATTACTATGATTAATGTGATTACATATTGTATAATACATAATATATAAAATTAATACAAATTTCAGTTTAATATAAAACACTATAATAACAATAATAATAATAGTAGCCTATTATTATATTCAATTTTTAATAATTATTTTTCTGTGTCAAAATCAATATTTTTGTAATTTGAATAGTAGTGTCAAATTTCTCTAAAATTATATTATTAAATATTTCAGTMATAATATTTAATAATTGTTATTTATTAACAATGTGAAATGAAATATAAATAATAATATGATGTATAGTAGATGCTGTATTTATTATTTAATTTTATTTATGTATAATTCAATATAAGAAATATAACAATTTAATAAAGTTTATAACTAATTCAAATAATAAAAATATACCCTAAGGTTTAGATTAGATTAATATTACATAATTTAACCAAAAAATATTGTTTATTTGATAAAGCTAATAGAAATTTCAAGAAAAATATTGTTTTTGTCAAATTTGTACCGTAAAACTTTACAATAAATTATTGTAAAGTTATATATAATATATTTGTCATTTTTATTGATTGCTTGATATTATGATTATTATTTTGCTGAAGTTGTCGACCGATACCGAGTGTGTAGTTGTGAGAGTCAAACATTGTGTCACACATGTATTGTAAACACATTTTTATTATCAATGAAATCTGCTTTTTATAGTTTATACAACACTTATGGATTCACTATATATATATATATATATCTCGCCAAATACAATAGCCATTGACTTTAAAGACTAAAGATATTTTCACACAATTGATGGTTAAGTCAAAAGCAAATCTCTATTTTAATTTAATCCTATTATTCGCGTAATACATGTCATCGGACTTATCTTATGAATTAGTTTTAGAAGTAAAAAACCACATAAACCTTATCTAATAATATAAGATATTTTTTATCTCATAATATAACTTTGTTGTTGTTGTTGTTGTTATTATTATTGTTGTTATCTAAGTATGTGTTTTGAATATCTTTCTCATATCTTTTCAATAGTAAAACCACATAACAATAGTTACATTTTTTTTAAAAAAGTCTGTATATAATATTTATATTAAAAAGCAAATGATGTCGAGAATCAAGAATAAAATGTAATAACGATTTTCTATGCTATTCTGTATTTTAAAGATTCCGTATAAAAACTTTTGTAATTAATTAGAAATTTCAAAATAAACTAAAATTTTGTTGTTTGAATAAATGCTGTTTTTTATGTCCGAAACTAACCGACCATTTAGTTTAGAAAAACGTGGAGATGAATGACAAACAAGTAATTTGTTATTATTATTATTATTATTATTATTATTATTATTATTATTATTATTATTATTATTATTATTATTATTATTATTATTATTATTATTATTATTATTATTATTATTATTATTATTATTATTATTATTATTATTATTATTATTATTATTATTATTATTATTATTATTATTATTATTATTATTATTATTATTATTATTATTATTATTATTATTATTATTATTATTATTATTATTATTATTATTATTATTATTATTATTATTATTATTATTATTATTATTATTATTATTATTATTATTATTATTATTATTATTATTATTATTATTATTATTATTATTATTATTATTATTATTATTATTATTATTATTATTATTATTATTATTATTATTATTATTAGAGTATTATTATTCATATGAATAGTATTATATCATAGTATTAAATTTATGTTTATTATAAATATTTACTATAATCAAGCTATAAATTATAATTTTTTTGACATGAATAGTTTTTGTATAGAATTTTATATGAAAAAGAGTTAAATTATTACAATTAAAAAAATAATAAACATTTAAATATTTTTAAAAATTTTAGTTTTTGTATATACTTGAGAAAAAATTGTATTTTATTTATAAAATAATATATTTAAAAATTATTATTTTTATGACTGAGTGCCAAAACTATTGTCTTTTTTATTTCTATTGTTTTGTATTTAAAATTTTATATATAAGTAATCATCTCTTGTTGTTGTATAAAGTGTTTCAATGATAACCACATCACACATGACTTGATTTAAATAAATTTGTTTTAGTCGTGCATTTATTATACATTTTTATTCAATGTGTTAAATCCAACTTTTATCGCATTCATAATAATATTGTAATTAAAATATTTTTTGTTTTGTTTTATAGTTTCCTTAATATTTTTTTGTGAAATGTTTTAACACAATAAAAGCTATATTTTGTAAATACGTTTTGAGTCAAATAAATTATAACAGTTTTATGTAATAATCTAATAAAAAAACTGTGAATTATTATTTAAAAAAAAGTTTTTATAATTAAAACATAATAAAGATAAGTTTTAAATAGTTTATTTACAAACTAAGCATAAAATGAGTAAAAATTATTAACGTATTAAAAGTATATACAGTACTTGTATTATAATGTAAATTATTTTATTAAAAATATTCTGTATATTTTTACAAAGTTTTAGACTCTAAAATTTAGAGCTTGTTTTTATATACTATGATCTGTCAAATATATTTAATATAATAAAATGAAAATTACATTTATTTTAATAAACAGTATTCAGTGTATATAATAATTTTAATAAAACCTACTATAGATTTAAATAAAATAGTAATAATAATAGACATTAGCAAACATGCAATAATTGATAGTGAAATAAATGAATTACTGAATGAATGGATGAAATAAAATAAACGAATTAATGACTGTCTCTCTCAGTCTTGTTGTCACTAAAAACTCAAACTTGAATTAAAAGTGAGACTTTAATTAATTTATTTGTTTTGTGTGTGATTTACATATCAAATAAATGTATGAGTGCTCTGATTTGACTCAAAACAATGTCTAATTTAACGACTAGTTATATGATTTAATTGTTGATAAAACCTTATAATGAAAGAGAAAGAAATAAGAGAAAGAGTGAGTGAGTGAGTGAGTGAGTGAGTGAGTGAGTGAGTGAGAGAGAGAGAGAGAGAGAGAGAGAGAGAGAGAGAGAGAGAGAGAGAGAGAGAGAGCAATACAATTAACATTTATAATAAAAAACATTTTATATTAAAAAGAGAGTTCAATTAATCAGTGATCTATTGATTAGTACTACTGTATGTGTTTTAATATTTAATGCATTGAAATGTTAAAACAAATTAAATCTCATTAAACTTTTAAACCAGAAATGAAAATCATATATTGTATGGTTGTATGCAATACATTATACCGTATATACCGGTATATATATATATAATACACTATATAATTTATATACAGTATAAAATATATGTTTGGAAAATATAARTAACAAAATTCTCAGTTTTAATCAATACTTTTGGGAATAGCATAATAATATTATTAGTAAAACATTATTGAATAGTGGCGTCACTTTTATAACACATTTTATTTATAAACAGAATATTGGTATTTAATATGCTTCAAGTATTTTATTATTTAATTACTAATTTAATGACATTATTATTATTATTATTATTACCAGAATATTCTTGTTGTATTTGGGTTAGAATTGTAACCAATTTTTTCATTAACAGATTCCACTGTTTAATAAAAGTGTAATAATTTTTATTTAATTTTTGTTTTTTGCATTTTTTACTAAATGTTTCTTATAATTGAATTGTGTTATTAATGAGATTTAATATTGAAGAAAGCAATTTTTTTGAAAAATTAACATTTTATCCACAAAAAAAATATTTAAAATGCTAAGTTTATTTTTTTATTAAAATAAAGTTTTATGTTATCTCAAAATTTAAAACAACTATCTCTAAAAATGATTATTATTAAAAATATAAAATTTAGTTCATCTTATGGTTAATATAAAAATTGAGTTACATTACATTCTGGTTAATAATATTTAAAATATTGTAAACTTTAAAAAAAATTATAATAAAATTTTTTATAGTTCTATAATTTTGCCATTAACTTTGAGTAAGTAAGAAAACAGTTTTTTAAACCAATTGATTTTAATTCAAATTTAGATTTTTTTTGTCAAATTTACTAAACAAATAATATAATCTATATTATAATAAACGTTATTATAGTTTTT